TCTGCAAAATTTAAAGTTCAGTTCAGGTTCAATTGAACTTGAACCTGAATCTAAATTGAACTGAACTGAACTTCAAACACTAGCTCTTAGGCTCATAATGTCTTCAGCCACATTATACGATTTTAATTGATCGATTACAGAGGGCCTCTCTTTCGTCAAGGTCTTGCAGAGGGGCTACTAGAGCTTGTTGTACTAGTTGCAAAGAGTTCACATTTACTAGAAGTGCTACTAGGGCTTGAGGGACTGGTTACAAAAAGTTCACATTTACTAGAAGTGGAATTGGAGCTTTTGGTCTAAAGAAGATAAACTGATATCTTTTCTCTGATTTATCCTCAAATCTTTTAGAGTATCATTCTCTGGGCCTTTGGGTAGAATATAGTTGATGATAGCCACAGAGGTCACAAAGGCTTCTTCTTCCTCGACTTCTGGCTCATATTCTTTATCTATTTTAATTTTGCAAAAATTAACATTGCCAAGTCTAGGTAGAATATAGGTAGGCTAATTGGTTGAATTATTTTAATAGGTTGGAGCTAATTTTGATTTTGATTTTGGGTTTTCTCTAACATACAATAGCGAGAAATGTGGCTGGGCTCACCACATTTATAACAGACTAATCAAGACAAATTATAATTACTATTATTATGATTATGATTATGATTATTATTATTATTGTTATTATTATATGAGGACAGAATCTTGGAACAGTTTCCATTAACAAGGTAAGAGCAGTTGTTAATTTTTGCACTTGATGGGTCAGGTTGTCAAGATCTATCTCCAGTTTCTTATTATTTTGAGGCTTCTCCTCACTTTTATTATTATAATTACTCTAGCTTCGATTTTTCAAGTACCAAGTATGGCTTCTTCCAATATAAAAGATTTAGTGACACTCAACCACAAGGCTATTTTTAGCTTTAAACCTCCTAAGAACATTCACATTATATACAGTTGGAGCAACCAATGTTCTGGATTGACTCTTTTCAAAAGCTTCTTGAACTTGAATGCATATGAATCAATTTACTTATTCTCTCATTGTACTAGCAAATTTAAATCCACTTGCTATTTATGATATTATTTGGGTATGGTGAAGTATTGCGTAAAATGCAAGATGAAGCTTGCTTTAGGCTTATTTTTATTATCTCAGAATTTTAACAGTCTTTTAACTTCATTATACTAGTTGGTGACAATACCTTGCAGGTACCCAGAGGCTATTTTGATCTTTTTTCTGGGAGTCCAATTATTTGTATTAGCTGCTCGATCAAACAGTTCAACCCATTTGAAAGAATCCTCTTCTTTAATACCAAATAATAGTTCTATACATACTAAGTTAGTTTCATAAATAGGCACTCTTGAGGTGGCAGTAGTTCTAGAGATAACATCTCTAAAAGTGTTGGCTATTTTCTCTAGAACTGCTTGGAGAGCATCCTGGTTCTGATATGGGTTCAGGTTTTAATTATTTTTACTATTATTTCTTTTAAGATATATAAGGTAATTGTTAACAGGAGTTCTATTTCTATCACTATATTCCGATCATTGGTCTTAATTGTAGACAAATTATGCTTTATTATTCTTTTGATTAGAGAAAAGATCATTATTGTTGACTTGGCGAACATTTTGTTGGTCTATAGTGTCTTTTTATTACTTATTTTTAGGGTGAGTTGCAGTATATGGAAGTTGCAAGGTTATCTTAAAAGATCTGATTGTAAACTAGAAGAGGCAAAATTGATTTTTATTTCAAGGTTTATTTATATGACCCAGTTTTTCTGTTTTTAGGTTGCTTTGATCAGATAAGTATCTATCTTTTTTTCTTTTTTTTTTGATATTGTACTAATTCTTATTTTGGATTTTAGGTTTCAGTTGACCAGTCTTATATCTGATTGTAATTACAATAATTACTACTTGTAAGGGAGGACCAGATAATCATAATAAAATAGTAAGGGTTGTAACAATAGTTTTGGGTGGACTTAGTATATTGGTTCTAAAATAAAACTTCTCAAAGAAACAATTCAATTCTCAAAAAAAAAAATTATCACAAAGTAAACACAAGTAGACAAAGATTGTTGGTCTACAAAAAGAAGAAAAACAATTTAGACTCGGTACATTGGTCCTCAAATTCAACAAACAAACTATCAATAATTAAAAAAAAGTATTGGAAAAGGGTGGTTAGCATCATTACAGTTTTGATTTCGAATCTCACAGTTATCACCAAATTGTCATAGACAAATGGACAAACCCACACACACAAAACAAAAGGTTGATCAAGGCTTACTCAATGAATCAGAGGCAGAATCAACTTGGTATAGTCTAAGATAATAGTTGAGTATTTTTCAATTAGGATGATTTGGGTAAATTTAAAGAGTATTATATTTGATTGACACCAAAGGTTTATTTATTTATTATATAGAATAATTATACATAGTCAACAATTAAGTGGTAATTAATTAATTAATATCTTTTTATATGAGCAATTCGACTCTTTATTTATAATAAAATTACAAGTTAAGAAAAGAACAAAATTGATGATTCTAATTTAATTCTTATCTTCTTTTTCATTATACTTCTATTGAACTTTAGCTAAACAACCATTTTAGTCTAATACTTTACTCCTTATACACAGCTATTCTTATTGAAACATTTGACAGAATAAAAAAAGAAGACAAGTCAAATAAAGGCTTTTATGTTATCATTGTTCTTTATCTATCAATTCTATTAATTCATTTATTGTCTCTTCTATCAATTTATATACTTTTTCTTCTTTACAGCTATACCTTACCCAACAAGATAATATTACCTTGACAGATATTATACCAAATTAGGTAAGTATCTTTTTCTTTAATAAGATCATTAATAGGAGCTTGGCTTTCATAAGATCTTTGTTAATGCTTCATACTTAGGGTCTGGTTTGAAGCAGGTTTGTTTATATGTAATTATCATTCAAAAATCAGGTTCTGGGGCA